TAATGCAATGCATGACAAACTGGTAAAAGTTGACTTTAATTAAATGTATTATGTCAAGAGATTTCACATAACTGTATTAGGTTAGTTGAAAGAAACAATATTACGTTTAAAAGTGATTTCAGTAAGGGTCGGGGTATCCTATGGGGAGGGTAGGGCTACATTTCTCCAGGGGCAAAGTAACACAAGCATTTCACAAACTTGCACACAAATGCGTAGGTGGATGCTTCGAGTCGACAGAAAGCTGTGACAGGAATCACAAGACCCCCCTCCCCCCAACACATCTCATCCTCTCAGCTTTTCATCCTGTGCCCGGCTGCTGGTGCCCGCCTGCTGTGCCAGCATGCCACCGTGGCACCATCGGGGATGAGGTGCAGCTGATTCAGCTCTGCCTCCCCCGAGAGGTGACCCTCCGAGGAAACAAGAAGGGGGAGAGAGTGGGCTAAAGAGCAGTGAGGAGGAAGTACTGCATGGCCTCATTCAAACTGCAACAGCGTGTATTTTAAAGAGTTCAAGACCAATTTGTGCTTTTATTTAGAAACATATGTGATGATGGAGAATGATTTCTCACACCCCTGTCCACAACTCTAATTTAATTTACTGCCAATTCAAATCACAGTCTTCATCACAATTGGGTATTTGCTCCATTCGGCAGTTAATATTGATATTTGAATTTCTTTTTCACACCACGATCGATAAAAGCATTTTGTAGCTTCGCAGGGCCTCACAAATGTATGCATTGATTTATTATTCCTTGATGTTACTTGGATGTTTGAAGATGCAGTTCATTATGCAGCCGATTAAAGGCTAGTATGGCATTTTATTAGCCAATAAGGAGCTCCTTAATCTCTAGTCAATATTTCATAAAGGCATATATAACAGCTCCTTTACTCTGGCTTCACGGACATCTAAGTGGTCAGTTTAAGATCATTTTAAACATATACCTTGTAATCAGCATCAAACTCCCTACATGATTTGAGCTCTATTGGACCAGGAACTGAGTTTGAGTTATTTTTAAGTGTTTCATAAATGTGCAATATTTGAAAAACATAATCAAAGTCTCAAATGTGCTACAGTACATACAGTAGGACATTAAGAGCAAAAACTGCATCCCACGGTTTATTACAGTGAGCGCAGCAGCATTTTGACTCTGGGTCATTTGTACAGCCATGCTGTTCACATTCATGTGTACTGAGCAAGCAAAAGGCCCCTGAAGGCAACACAGCTGATTGGGGGATTAGATTATTGGCACTCAAGACTTTCAGGGTCAAAGTGGGGGTTCACTCTTTCAGAAAAACTGCGAATACTCATGCCATCGTAAGCATGGTGAGACATGATAATTGGCGAATGATGACATAAACCTTTAAATGCAGCTGGATATTATAAGTTCCCCTAAAAAAGCGTGGACAGTAGACAGTTTTCTTGGCATTGATATCACAAAACTGTCTGAAAGCAACAATGTCACAGCCCTGTATTACATACTGCTACATGAAACATGTATAATGGAAATACACTTTGGAAGTCAAAACAACAGCCAGTCTTTAAACTAAGTGTGGAGAAAGGACTTCTGAAATACAGTATTCATGTGTCATTTAAATATATTCAGAAAAAGCTTTGTTTGCCTGTGAACCCTCCAGAGTATTTTGTGGCAAGTTATTGAAACTGTATTCCCCGGTTCTGAGAGCATAAAATAGAAAAATGATGAATAAGGTCAAGAAAGGGAGTGAGTGAAAGAATGTGCAAAAGAGACAGAAAAAGAGAAAGAGAGAGAATAAAGTGAGTTCAGAGAGGGGAAAAGAGGGTGGGACATGGAGAGAAAGATGCAAAGAGAGGGGGAGACAGACAGTGAGAGAGAGAGGCCTCTAGTAAGTAGCTTTCTCCTGGTTATTGGTTTCAGTGACTGGTCAAAACTATTCTTCTCCATTCTTCTTGTCTCTCTCTCGCCGGCACCTTTCTTTCCCCCTCCGTGGCGTGAAAGATAAAGCGGACGGGCCCAACTGTGTGGCTGGCCCTTGTTCACAGCAGTGGCCTTTTGAAGCCAATTTTCCAGCTCACGGAGCAGAGAAAGACGGGCAGAGGGACTCGGAGGAGAGTCGAGGGATGAAGGGATGAGGGCTGTATGAGGGGGAGGAGGAGGAGGGGGCGGCTGAGAAGTTTGAGGTGTGTGAATTAGGGTTAGTGTTGAGGTGCTGATGTGAGAGAATGCCCAGATACAGCAGGATTACGATGCAAAATGTTCCTCACACCTAAACTGCCATAATTGGCGCCTCTGAACATAATTGTAGAACAGAGGGAACGTAATTCACTCGACCTGAAACAGTGGAAGCAGTGCAGCTTGGGGATAATTCTGCGCTTTGGGTTCCACACTGAACTTTTCATGGTCCACTTTTACTGTTTGATTGAAGTGCATTGTTAAAAAAGTGCTTTTTAGTGTACATGCTTCAGTTCTGCACATTAAAAAGGACGTATTGTGCAAAAGTATAGGTTAATATTTGTAATTTGTTTCTCTACTGTGACAAGTTCCCATGCTTTAATGCTCAAAATGTTTCTATACTGCCTCTCTGTCTGAAACCAGAGCCCAGTCTGCTCTGAGGGCCGGCTCCATTGTGATTGGTTGACCGCTTAGAGATGTCCCGCCCCTTAGCCAATCAACCTATCTATCTTAGCTATCATGTACAGCAGGGGTGTCAAACTCAATTTCATCACGGGCCACGTAGGATGTATGGTTGCACTCAAAGGGCCGGTTGTAACTTTGAGACTATATCAAATTACATATATAATATTTAATATATATAAAATAATGCATTATATTACATTATTGCCTCTGCATTGGATTATTATCTGATAGGGTAATAACTTCATAATTAACTACGTCTGAAAGCAGAAGTCTAGGGCAAGTAATTACAAGTCTCTTCATTGAGAATGTAACAAAATTATTTAAAAAAGAAAAGCCAAATCCTGCAAAAAAAAAAAAAAAAAAGGTGACATTTTGAAAAAAAAGTAACATTAAAAAAAATGAGATGCATTGTGGGACATGTAGTTTATGGGCAACGTGCTTCTGTAAATCGCCATGTAACCGTATAATAAANATATTATATTCTTTCAGAGCTCTTGTGGGCCACATGAAATGAAGTCGTGGGCCGGATTTGGCCCCCGGGCCTTGAGTTTGACACCCCTGATGTACAGTGTGTTGGAGCGCTAGCCAAT